ACGGGCTCCTGTTCGGTTTTGGCCAAATTCAGCTCTGTAGCTAATTTTTCTGTGATGAAGGACCTCTGTGCACCCTCGTCAAATGATATGTTTGCGTTAGTACATTGAATGCCTGAACTTACTTGCGCTACGGCAGTTTTTAGTAGTACATTGGTCTGTGCCTGTGAGTGAAGAACTGTGCCCGTTTCCTTCGCGTCGTGTTGTGTTTCCTGAATTGTGCTTATATTTACATTAGCGTTACTTGTTGTACCTCGTCACTGATGCCGTTTTTTACATTTCCTGCAACTTTGGTATGATTTGCAATCAGCTACATTGTGATGTCCAAGACAATTAAAACATAAACGATCCCTTTTAACGATAGAAATCCTTGCTTTGTGTTCAATTATCTTAGTGCAGTTAACGGGGGCGTGTGAATCATTACAAAATATGCATGACTTTATGTTCATTTGTCTGTTGACTGGTTTTGTACGTACCTTTGCATTGGTGTGAAATGCTGCTGTAGCGGTATGAGTTTCCGTCAGATCAGCGGAATTGCCTTCCTCCATAATGTTGAGTTCGTGAAATATTATTTGTCGTAGTTCATTTTATTGCCAACTAGTTGAACCATGGTGTCTTGTAAGATTTATGCGTACGTCTCCCGGTAACTTTTTCAATATGATAGGGACCAATAATGAGCCATAGGTATCCTCTGTCTGACCAAGGGATTCTAACCCACGTACATATGTTTCAATTTTGTAGTAATAATTGCGTAAGCTCTGTAGGGTATTCTTGGGTGACGGTATTTCAAGTAATGTGTTCATGTACTTTTGCGTGATTTTGTGAACTTGTCCATACCTTTGTTGTAGCAACGAAACTGCTCTTTCATAATTTGAGTTTGTAAGTGCAAAACCATTTACGGTTTGGAAAGCTTCATCGTGTAACAATGACTTCAAGTAATTGAACCTCTGGACGTTATTTGGTGTTGGGTTTGTATGTACGGCTGCATCATACGAGTCCCAAAAGGACTGCCATTGTAGAATGTCGCCATCCAAAGTTGGTAGATTTTGTTTAGGGAGCTTATATTACTCGCTAGCAATTGAGGAATATGAGCGAAAATCTGAACGGAAATATGTATTGTGCTGATTTTCTGTGCTTGAAGTATTATTAGTACTAGGATATGAAGGCGGAACGTCGTTTCTAGAGTTTGTAAAGCTTGTGGCATTTGTATTTAGCGTTGATATTTGTACTGTGATAAATTTGGCTATTTGACGTACTTTTGTTTCTAAATTAAATGAGTACTCATCTGAGTCAACGATTTCTGTTTCAATGTCCTCTTGATCCAAATCCTGAATAATATCTTCGTCTAATTTCCTTAACAATTCTTGTTTCCTTTTCAAAGTGTCTAAAATGTTGGAAAGTTCATCGGAATCAACAAGTTTTGTTCCGCTCTCCTGAATTTCGTCGAATTTCTTAAATATTCTTGAAACGGCGCTTCTATGTCCTGCACATATCGATTTCAGCTTCAAATTCATCTTGGTCACGGCACCAATATCGTTAAGTGGGTAAATCGGGCAACTATAGGCTAACAATAACAAAGGCGTCTAGCATGTATGGATCTCTATTCAAACTCTGATGTCAATACGTCACACTTAGGTGACGTTACAATGAATAGTGGCAGCGAGAACGTTACGTGTATGCGTTACTTCCAACAGTCTGTCAGTCAGGGTTCACCTGACCTTGACCTCATTTCATGGATCAGTGATCAAGGTTAAAGTTACATGATTAGGTCCGTTTCTCAGATACTGTAAGCAGGTGTATGGAATGATTGTAAAGTGTACATGTCAGTCTGGCAGGTTTCATGTGGCCTTGCCTTCATTTTTATGGTTCATTGGTCAATGTTAAGTTTTTGTGTTTTGCTCTGTTTTCTAATACTTTAAGCAATAGGTCAACTATATTTGGTGTATGGAATAATTGTAAGGTGTACATGTCTGTCTGGAAGGTTTCATTTGTCCTTGACATCATTTTCATGGTTAATTGGTCAATGTTTAGTTTTCAGTAGTTAGGTCCTCTTCTTACATACTATACGCATAGGTCAACTCTGGTTCTGGTTCCCTCCATACACCTTGGCCTGTTTTCTGCTCTTTGATCGGGTTGTTGTCTCTTTGACACATTCCCCGTTTCCATTCTCAATTTTATTCCTTCACCAATAAAAACTAGCCACCACGAAATAGCACAATAGTGAAAGTGGTGTTACAAACCAATCAATCAATCAATTGTTTTGTTGTTTATCATAATTAGTGTTGTCAAATCAAACAGTTTTGCCTAACCAGCTACTCGGATAATCTTTCGACCGATTAACCGGTTAACCGGTAGTTTAGTCAATGACTAAAGGCCATATCTATAGTACCCTACAAATGTACGTTTTTATGATTCGATAAATTGAAGTTTATCCTTGGGCATTATAAGGCTTGGCTTTGAGCATTCCTGGTGAAGTTTTACTTTTAATCATACAATTCTACCGTATCTAAAATGAAGTTGTAATACTAGTAACTCCAGATTGAGAAGATGAAAATCTTCTCAATCTCGTCGAATTGACAATGTCTGAAACCATTGATTGTTTCATTTTCGCTGGTGTCTCGGAAATATTGTGGAGTGTTTCAATTTGAGATGATTAAGCATGTTACTCGTAACACTGAATATAGATTAATTCCATTCACATGATTTGCATTTCACCATTTTAAAGTCGGCATTTTGTTTAAAGTATGACAAAAACCCTGGACGATGGAGGTGGCATATTTACATGTAGGTCTACGCTATATAAAATCAAAAATGAAATAATGAAGTAAATCGTAAAATGTAATCAGCTTACAACTGTTCAAAATACATGTATGCTTTTAGATCTTGCCCCGAGCTCGACAAGTTGTCTTTGTGCTAATTAATTTTGTAAAATTAGAATGTGTTCAAGGTTAACAATAGCAATCAATATACTGGACAATTGAACTGTCAAATTAATTACCACGACGATCATCTTAAAATTCACCAAAATTTATTAATGATTTCAAGACACATTTATATTGAATCTATTAAAATTGAAAAAAGGTCCGGTTAACTGGTTAGCGTTTTTGGTATTTCGATATTCAGTCCTTCTAACAGTTAACCTGTTAACCCGTTAATCCTTGACAACACTAATCATAAAAGATCATTCTCACTAAATGTTTCAAAAACATTCTCTGCACCCTGCAGGCAGTTAAGTCTTTAATCCAATGTTATTTTGTCTCATTGGCATTTATGCCACATCTTATTTATCTATCACAGGGAAGTATGTATTCTAGGACCCTTTTTTTCTTCGTTATGTCAACAACATGTCCATTAGAATTAACTCAGACGTTAAACCCTTTTTTATGCAGATGATACTATACTATAATGTTTTCCCATAAAAATCATGAAATTATTATACCCCACGCAACGAGTTGCGGAGGGTATAATGTTTTTGACCCGTCCGTTCTTCTGTCAGTCCGTCAGTCCGTCAGTCCTGTTTCTTGTCATCGCAACTCCTCTCAAACCACACAACAGAATTTCACGAAACCTTTTTAGATAATAAGGACATACTATGTAGTTGTGCATATCGACAGGAAATTACGATTCAATTTTTTTTCTAGGAGTTACCCCCCTTTGAACTTATTTACTTTAATGTACTACTGCAACAGTTTGTCATCTCAACTCCTCTGAAACCACACAACAAAATTTCATGAAACTTTGTAGATGATAAGGACATACTACGTAGATGTGCATATCGACAGGAAATTACGATTCAATTTTTTTTCCAAGAGTTAAGCCCCTTTGAACTTATTTGCCCAATATACTACTGCAACCTTTTGTCATCGCAACTCCTCTCAAACCACACAACAGAATTTCATGAAACCTTTTCAGATAATAAGGACATACTACGTAGATGTGCATATCGACAGGAAATTACGATTCAATTATTTTTCTAGGAGTTACGCCCCTTTGAACTTATTTACTTCAATATACCTCTGCAACAGTTTGTCATCACAACTCCTCTGAAACCACTCAACAGAATTTCATGAAACTTTGTAGATAATAAGGACATACTAGGTAGATGTGCATATCGACAGGAAATTATGATTCAATTTTTTTTCTAGGAGTTACGCCCCTTTGAACTTATTTGCTTCAATATACCTCTGCAACAGTTTGTCATCGCAACTCCTCTGAAACCACACAACAGAATTTCATGAAACTTTGTAGATAATAAGGACATACTATGTAGATGTGCATATCGACAGGAAATTATGATTCAATTTTTTTTTCTTACAGTTATTTTATTTCTCCAGTGACAATGTTGGGACATGGGGTATGTGAGCGCGCTCACTAAGGTTCTTTAATTTCTCTAAAAAAACTGTAAAGAACTTGAATTATGTAGTATAGATAATAACCTTTCGCTCTACTTTTGTAAAAGTGAATGTATTCTTTTTGGTCCAAAGAGAAAATTTAAAAAAAATTATAAATATCTCATAAATAAATCGCATTGATATAGACCAAAATCTGTCCAGTTTGTTTGTGAAAAACATGGAATCATAAGTTAACTGATATGGTTGTGGCATCACCCAATGAGATTTATCACCAAAATTTGTACTTACCTATGAGAAACATAATGGGTGCTACTAGTGGAGCAGGAACTGCTTAGCTGTCCGAATCATCTGAGATCATCTTAGTTTTTCGTCAGGTTTTTATTGCTCAGTCTTTAGTTTTCTTTGTAGTATTTAGTAGATTTGTTTATGGTTTCATCATCTTTCTTTTTTTGTTGTTATGGCCTTGTCATTTTCTCTACGACTTATAAGTTTTAAATGTCCCCTTGGTATTTTCAGCCTCTGTTTTACAGAAATCATTATGTAATAATACTCCGTAATTTTTAAGTAAACCTAATTGTCAACTTAAAGAATATTAACAATATTATAAATGTTCTTTGCTACAAAATAATGATAACCTTCCCTTTTTTACAGGCTAACTATCTTGCTAACGGAAATAATGAGCTTAATGTTCAGAGAATCTGAGATAATTCCTGCGAGGATACAAACATTAAAGGCAGAAAGGTATTTTTAATAAAAATTAAGTGACTTTTAGTCAGAATACTGGCAAAGAAGATTTGTTAATATTACCAAACTTTACCAGAATATTCCTTAGGAATTTAGTTTGATCCATCAACAAACATGGAGCTGTTGTTAAAAATAGAACATAGGGGTAAAAACATGTAGAGGTCTATCTACTGTGAAATTTTCAGAACCCATTTATGAGTTATTATATTTTTATGTCCACAATCATCTGGACACATTTTGTTTCCAGACAATAACTTGAATAAATAAGTGTATGGATCTCTATGAAATTGAACCCCATTAATAGATGGAGATTTTGAAGAAGCTGTAGAAGTTTTTGATGACTTAATAAATCTTTTTGTAGATTCTTGCTCTGGTGGTCAGATGGCTTGCTTTCTCTGCATATTTAATAGTACCAGGTGTAAACATTGATATTAATGGTAACTAGTCAATGAATTGTTATGTTTAAAATTTTGAATAACCATATACGTTACATTAAAGTTCGATATCACACATCCTCCGAAGTAGTGAAACTGTTTAGATGATTTTTAAGATTTTAGACGAGCTAAAAAAAAATAACTTCCACCAATGTACAGAGCGTGTGTCTCTGAAACTTCTGGGCCAAATAAAACAAAACTTGGCCACAATCATCCTTGGGGTACCTAGTTAAAAAAATGTGTCCTATCTAGACGAATTTTTTCGCGATTAGAAAATCAATGAAAAAATTTCTGAATTTAGGGTAAGTACACAATGAAAATTCACAAAATCTAGTATAAAATTAAAACCATCAAAACATTTTTATTTTTTTTTATTTTGCATATAGTTTGAATGGGCTATGTTAAATTTTCGTAGCAAAAGACGGCCCCAACCTTAACTTATACTAGAACTTGCAATAATGCTTTAGTTATAAATGCGCTTCTGTTCATATTTAATGTTTGCTAAAGCTTTTTTGGGAGGCTAATACTTTTTAGAGTAGTATAACACTATTAAATCATTATTTTTTTGCACCTTATTTGTATACTTGTCGCAAATACCTTCATCTTTGAAGCTTAAGAGTGAATTTAAACAAAACTTGACATAATTGATCTTTAGTTAATTGTCTAGATTTTAAAGGCGTAAAGATTTTGTGAATAACTTTTTGTAATTTATAGTTTTATTTGAACACCTATGAACTCATTCGCACAAGATATTTCTTCATTTCAGGGGAAGACCTGTGTTCGATCTTTTGAAAGTCTTGATATGTACCCCTGAAGTTCCTGAAAAAATGGCAGCACCCAGTGATAGTGATAGAGAGGTATATTATATAATAGAATACAGAATACTTTGTTTTATTTAAGGTTAATAAATAAACTGAAATATACCCAAGACTTTTGGCACCTCTTGAAAACAGCAATATATCTGCTTAAGAAAAAAAAGTCAGGAGCATGATGGTCATCCCTTTGTCTGTCCAAAGAAATGCTTACTAGATGAAATTGCTTAATTACAATGATACTTTATATAAATACTAATGAAGTATATATGGAAGAAGAGAAAGCCTATTGGTTTTGGAATTAATAGTTAAAAGTTTCAGGTCGCAACTACTAGAAATAGATATTTTTTTTAAGATATCCCCTTGAAAATGTTTATGAATATTTCATGAATTTCTCTCAGGGAAAGTTCTGATGAATATGTGAATTATTGTCTTTATGAACTGTTATTTCCTGAATAAATTGATGAGCATTGTTTGTTCACTTTTAGTTTATTATATTGTTCATTTAAATTTAATGAACTTATTGAGAATATTTCAAGAATCTTTCATGTACCAATTCCATACCTCAGCGTCAACTGACCTGTATTTAGCGGTTTTGACCCGTGAATTTACCATCTCACTCCAGATTTGTAAATGACCTGCACGGGTTGTCAAAAAACCCAGGATTTCAGTATCAGAGCTGTTTTCACCTGTATTCTAATTCCATGCTTTTTAGTTCTTTTTTGAAAAACTTAGTTTACTGTTCAAGATTGTTCAGCAACTATGAAACAATAGTTTGTCACTTCATTTATGTAAAAGTCACTTGATCTGCTAATTATCTTGGTAATTTAAGGATACAGAGGTGTCAAACTTCAAGGAAATAATGAAATAGCCAAGAAAGTCATAAAATCGTTGTACGCAAAAAGTCAATTATCTATGACAAGTGAATCATAGTAAATACGCTTTTAAACAATAGTAATTTAAAAATGCTAAAAGGTTCCTAATAGTAAAACCAAACCTGTATTAAACCATTAAGTATCTCTTTTTAAAGACTTAAAAACATAAATATGTCCCCTCTCAATCCATGTGCAAAAATGCATTTTACCCTCATGAAATTATTTTTCTGATTTTTTCCTGAATATGATGCCGGAATTTACTGAACCCAATTAATAGACCCTTTTCTTAAAATGGCTGAATTTGGCACGTTCCAGCAAGTTTTCAGTAATGATTTAACAAAACATTTTCACATAGCTGAAATTTACTGAACCTCTCAATATAAAAATGGTAGCATATGCTATAAATTTATTACTTTGGGATACCATACGGCATATTTTGTTTTGTGTCTGTCTGTCTGTCTGTCTGTCTGTCTGTCTGTCTGTCTGTCTGTCTGTCTGTCTGTCTGTCTGTCTGTCTGTCTGTCTGTCTGTCTGTCTGTCTGTCTGTCTGTCTGTCTGTCTGTCTGGTCGTTCGGTCGGTCGTTCGGACTTAGAAAATTCACTCAAATAATCAGTTTTCCACACTTTTTTTTGTCATGCTTAAAGATATTGATTTAATGATTGGTATATAGTTTTATCATGACAAGTTACAGATCAAATTCGAATTTTGTCCCGGTCTGATGATTTTGTGCAGAGTTATGGTCCTTGGACTTAGAAAATTCACTCAAATAATCAGTTTTCCACACTTTTTTTCGTCATGCTTGAAGATATTGACTTGATATTTGTTATATAATTTACACCATGACAAGTTATAGATCAAGTTAGCATTTTGTTCCAGTACAATGAATTCTTAACCAGTAGGGGACTATGTATTGCCATGCAATACTGTCAGAATGCTTGTTGACAACATATTTGTTGAATTTGGAGGTAGACTTTTTCAACAAATTGTCTGCATTCCTATGGGAACGAATTGTGCGCCTCTCCTTGCCGACCTCTTCTTATTTTCATATGAGTCAGAGTTCCTTCAGACACTTGTCATAAACAAGAAGATCAAAGAAGCCAGATCATTGAATTTCACATTCAGATATATTGATGATGTTCTTTCCATAAACAATCCAAAATTTTCTGATTGGGTTCCATTAATATATCCTCCAGAACTAGAAATTAAAGAAACAACAGACACGGCTTCCTCCACCTCATTTTTAGACTTATACCTCGAATTTGACATAAGCGGTCATTTCAGTCCCAGAATCTATGACAAACGAGAAGATTTTAATTTCAAAATTATCAATTTCCCCCAACTTCACCTGCATATGGAATATACATTTCCCAACTCATTCGGTATTCAAGAGCTTGCAGCTGCTACTCAGACTTTGTAAAACGTCACCAGTGTCTGAGCAGAAAGTTGATGAACCAGGGTTATTTCATAGAACGTCTCGTCCTTTTTCTAAAAAAGTTCATCGGAAGATACCAAGTATAGATTCTAGGTACTGACGTTGTTTATCATCTTAATAACATGTTATAGTGTTCTTTATTTGTTATTTAAGGAATGACTGTAATATTTTTTCTGTCTATGAAGAAATAACATCAAAAATGTGGTGCACACGGAATAACCCTCGTAGCGGGTTATTTAAAGTGTGCACCACATTTTTAATGTTATTTCGAATAGACAGAAAAAATATTACAGTCATTTCTTATAATTTAATTCTTAATTCCATTTTAAACCAGAGTAAATCATGAAAAAACGTTGATGATGTCAAGGTCACATGACAAAATTATGTCTATGAGCTGATAAACAAAACAACGTCAGCCAATCAGAAGACGTGTTACATCCAAAATTAAATTATTGTAAATTATTAACGTTTACTGTTTGGTCCATTTTTGGTAATATCCTTTAGGCGTGGCTCTGTACTTGTACATCCCGCCACTGTGTTGTTGTGCTGTAGTCATTTTTTGTATTCTTGTGTTTAATTTTTGCGTGTGTGCTTTGTCTATATGCCATTTTGTTTTTCTTTGTTGACATATTTGTTTGTTTTTATAGTGGTTGAGATTATAACACAATGTTGACTGCTGTACCCCTATTTTTGACATTTTTACCTATTTTGTCTTGTTTGTTTTGTTCACACATTGTTGTCAAATATAATGGAATTTTATGCGACTGTCATACAAGTGAGAGGTTTAGCTAGCTTTAAAACCAGGTTTAATTCACTATTTTCTACATAAGGAAATGCATGTACCAAGTCAGGAATATGACAGTTGTTTGATGTGTTTGAGCTTTTGATTTTGCCAATTGTTAAGGGACTTTCCGTTTTGAATTTTCCTTGGAGTTCGGTAATTTTGTTGTTGTCGAGCCTGCGACTTTTGTCGCAGAAAGCTCGACATAGGGATAGTGATCCGGCGGCGGCTACGGTGGCGCCATTAGCTAACTTCTTAAAAGCTTTATATTTTAGAAGCTAGAAGACCTGGATGCTTCATACTTTGTATATAGATGCCTTATGTTACGAAGTTTCCGTCTGTCATATGTCCATTGTCCTTGACCTCATTTTAATGGTTCAGTGACAACTTGAAAAAAAGTCAACATTTTTTGTAATGTTAATTTCTTTCTTATTATGAGTAAAAGGATAACTATATTTAGTATGTGCGTACCTTGCAAGGTCCTCATGCCCGTCAGACAATTTTCATTTGACCTCGACCTCATTTCATGGATCAGTGAACAAGGTTAAGTTTTCGTGGTCAAGTCCATATATCAGATACTATAAGCAGTAGGTCTACTATATTTGGTATATGGAATAATTGTAAGGTGTACATGTCCAACTGGTAGGTGTCATCTGACCTTGACCTCATTTTCATGGTTCAGTGGTCAAAGTTAAGTTTTTGAGTTTTGGTCTTTTTTTCTACTACTATATGCAATAGGTCAACTATATTTGGTGTATGGAAATATTTTATGATGTACATGTCAGTCTCGCAGGTTTTATTTGACCTTGACCTCATTTTCACGGTTCATTTCTCAGTGTTAAGTTTTTGTGTTTTGGTCTGTTTTTCTTCAACTATAAGCAATAGATCAACTATATTTGTTGTATGGAAGGATTGTAAGGTGTATATGTCTGTCTGGCAGGTATCATCTGACCTTGACTTCATTTTCATGGTTCATTGGTCAATGTTAAGTTTTCATGGTTAAGACTGTTTCTTAGATACTATAAGCAATAGGTCAACTATATTTAATGCATAAATTGATTGTAAGGTGTACATGTCTGCCTGGCATGGTTCATCTGACCTTGACCTCATTTTCATGGTTCATTGGTCAATGTTAAGTTTTCTTGGTTAAGACTGTTTCTTAGAAACTATAAGCAATAGGTCAACTATGTTTGGTTTATTGAATGATTGTAAGGTGTACATGTGTTTCTCGTTTGGTTTATCTGACCTTGACCTCATTTTCTTGGATCATGTTAAGTTTATGTGTTACTTGTAGCAAAGCTTTATATTTAGGACTATCAACATAAAATCAATGGTTAGTAAAGAAGGTGAGACATTTCAGTGTGTGCACTCTTGTTTTACTTTTTAAAAGACCTTTTTCTTTAAAAAAAAAAGGCTGAATTTGTCACGTTCTAGCAAGTTTGCAGCAAATTTTCAGAAAAAATTCAACAAGACTGTTCAGTAGCAATTATTCAGAAAGTTTCTAGCATTTCTTTCTAAAATGTTCAACAAACAGAAGTATATTTAAGCAAATGTTCAGTAAATATTTGAAAGAATCAGCCACTGTTCAGCCAATTTGAATACTATAATCAGCCATTGTTAGGTGTTTAGCTATAATTCAGGAAGGGTTCAGACCATTTTCAGCTTAAGCTCGCCTTTTTCAGGAAGGGTTCAGCAGATTTTCAGCTATAGTTCAGGCATTGTTCAGAAGAGTTCAGATCATGGTCAGCTTTGGCTCAGACATTTTTTAGAAAGATACCATTTAGATGATTTTTATCTATAATTCAGGCATTGTTCAGGAATCCATTGGTTTTTAGACAATATTAAGCTTTAATCTGTATTCTGTCTAAAAGACACTATTTATTCAAAACAAATAAACATTATCAAAAGTCATATGAAACAAGTTTCCTGTATTTTTAATGTTATCAAAATTATTGA